GAAATCAGAAGACGTTTACTCCTTTGGAGGAGAGCAATGATCAATCTCGATAAAACAGTGAAGAGTACAGACATCATACTGGCAACGAAGATCCGCATAGTTAAACCGATGGTATTCCACGTAGAAACCTATGGATGTGAGAGCTGGACCATAAGAAAGGCTGAGTGAAGGAAGATAGATGCTTTTGAATTGTGGTGCTGGAGGAAAATTCTGAGAGTGCCTTGGCCAGAAGATCCAACCAGTCCATACTTCAAGAAAAAAAGCCCGACTGCTCATTGGAGGGAAGGATATTAGAGGCAATATCCTTCTCATTATGGCCACATGAGAAGACAGGAAAACTTAGAGAAGACAATGATGCTGGGGGAAATGGAAGGAAAAAGGAAGAAGAGCCGACCAAGGACAAGATGGATGGATGGTATCCTTGAAATGAATGGCTAGACTCTGAAGGAGCTGGGGTTGGGGATGGCCGGTAGGGAGCTCTGGCGTGGACTGGTCCATGAGGTTACGATGAGGCAGAAACGACTGAACGAATAACAACAACATTTTTTTGGATAAACTTCCACCTTTCTTATTATTTTGGTGTATCTGCCAAAGTGATAGATCTCTGGGTTTTGGTGCATGGGTGTTTTTACATGCTGTGAGCAGCTGATGAAGTAGACTTATTTCTTTACCTCTATTTTGCTGTTCACACATTCTCAGGAAGGGATCCTGAAGGCAGCTGCGGTTTACCTTGCGCTTGGTAAGCATGCACATAGCTGTAAAAAAAATCACATCCTTCTAAAGTTCAACCTCTATTGTATCATTTACTGCAAACATACTGTTGCAACCAGATACTGAAAATCTGTGCCTTTTCAGCCTTCCAATTCTGGTGCTGCAAAGAACCACCAGCTATACAAAAAGCAAGATAAATCTGGGGCAAAATACAAAAAACACTGCAATACATTTTTATTCAAAGATACAATTGGAGCCTGAATTATTTTTATTGCGAATGTCAAACAACCAAACAAAATCACTGAACTATAAAATATTACACTACATAATCATAGCAGCAAGAACAGTATATGAATGGTTCTGAAAGGAGGCAGACCTCCCAACAATGGAAGAATGGATAGTTAAAGTATTTAAAATAGCAGAAATTGACAAATTAGCAATGATAAACAATAAAAAACACAAAAAAAACTTTTATCAAGGACAGGGAAACATTTCTAAACTATGTTAAAAAATAAAGAAGGAAAAGATTTTTTAAGAAAGCTTCATAATTTAACCTGTTAGAATCTGTTTAGGGAATTTATAAATAATAAATATCAGGCCGGACAAAAGAATAGAAAAACAATATCACAGGAAGAAAGAACAGAATTATATAAAAATGTCTCCAAACCAAGGGACGGGAAGTCACTAAATTGGGAGGGGTGGGAGGATGGGAGAACATTTATTAATTTTGTATTGAAATCATTGCATAAATAAATAAGCACAAAACTGACAAAAATAAAGGGAGCACAAGTAGTCAAATAATTTTAGACCAAAAATTGACAACAGCGACCACATTGACTATAGCTTAAAACTGAAGTGTTCCTACTTATCTGGGACTACCTCCCTATTGAACACAACAGAGTGCATCTACTGTAGAATGAATGCAGCTCAACACCACTTTCTTCCTCTGTGCATGAGGCAGGGCATTGTGGGCAAGCACACAGATGCTGAGTTGTTTGCTCTGCTCCACAATCGTACAAGGTGGAGGATTCTTCTAGGCAGTGCCAGGGTGAGGGGAGAGCATAGGCAAAAATGAGCACTATATAGATGTTAGGAAGTATATTATTATTATTAATAATAATAATAATAATAATATTATCTCCCCGAGGGAGTGGATTCCAACAAATAAAATGGCAAACATTAAAGTCTTAAAAGAGCAATAAATTCAGACACAATAACGCAAGACAATCCAACATATAAAAGCAAATTATAACATGACAGCTAAAATTAAATAACATAACCTATCAAGAAAGTTATATCTAACATTGTATTGGTTTGTGTATATATACATGTATATAGATTTGTTTTACTGTTTTTTTTATGAATATGTAAATTGAAAATAAAAACAGCCTTTGATAATGGCTAATGTATCATCTATATTAGATGATTAAATACAATGAAGTTTTACTCTGACATTTTTATGCTGATATTTTTAATCTGTTTTGTGGCTCGGAAGCTAAACTTGGTTTGTATAGGTTGCTTTCAACTACAATTTAGATCGTCTGGGGAGGCACTGCTCTCTCCCCCCCCCACCCCCCGCCGTCTCATGCACGGTTGGTGGGGACGTGGGAGAGAGCCTTCTCGGTGGTGGCCCCCTGACTCTGCAACTCTCTCCCTAGAGCAGTGGTTCTCAACCTGGGGTCCCCAGATGTTTTTGGCCTTCAACTCCCAGAAATCTTAACAGCTAGTAAACTGGCTGGGATTTCTGGGAGTTGTAGGCCAAAAACATCTGGGGACCCCAGGTTGAGAACCACTGCCCTAGAGAGATCAGACAGGCTCCCACCTTGTCCTCCTTTCGGAGTTAACTAAAAACCTGGATGTTACAGTGTACTTTTGATTAAGCAGCTCACCAGTAACTTTCCTGTCCCTACTTGAAGTTCCGCACTTTACACTGGCCCGCACTTTACTCCGGCATATTATCTACCTTAACATGTGCTATGATAATATTTCCTGCCCAGTTTACTGTATTGTTGCACTTTCCTGCGCTCCTGTAAAAATGTATTGCACTCATTAAATCTGTACCTCAGCTATGTTTCTTTCAGCCATATTGTTTTTATATTGCTTTCAACTGTGTTGTATTTGTTTTATCTGATGTTTTAATTGGTTAAAGTGTTTTACTTGTGTGTTTTAATTATAATTTTGGGCTTGTCCCTTGTAAGCCGCCCCAAGTCCCCTAGGGAGATGGCTGGCGGGGTATAAAAATAAAGTTATTATTATTATTATTACAAATTATTGTTGTGTTTTTATTGGTTATTTCACTTTGATTGAGGTGTTTTATTTTAATCCCTTTATGTTGTTATTTTACACTATTTGCTGTTCATTGATTTTGGCTAATTTTGTTGTATTTTATATGTTCTGTGTTGCACTATTGTTGCCTTGTAAGCCACCCCGAGTCCCTTTGGGACAGTGGTTCCCAATCTGTGGGTCATGAGATGTTTTGGTCTTCAACTCCCAGAAATCATATCAGCTGGTAAACTGGCTGGGATTTCTGGGAGTTGTAGGCCAAAACAACTGGGGACCCACAGGTTGAGAACCACTGCTTTAGGGAGATGGGACAGGATATAAAGATATTATTAATAATAAAAACAGAAGCACAAAAGATGGCACCCGCAGCTCTCCAGCAAAGGATCACCACCTTGTCGTGGTGCTGGAGCTTGAACACCTCAATGATGTAACGAGCGAAACCGTGAAGGGCCACCCAAGACAAAACGGTCGTGGCAGAGAGGTCGGACCAAGCGCGATCCCTGGTGAAGGCAATGGCAAGCCACCCCAATATTCTTGCCAAGAAAACTAAATGGACCAGTACAACCAGAGATATGTCGGTATGCCATTAGAAAATGGGACTCTCAGGTTGGAAGATGGCCAAAATGCTACTGGGGAGGAGAAGGATAAGTTCAACTAGCCCCAGATATGATGACACAGCTAGCTCAAAGCTGAAAGGAAGGCTAGCGGCCGACATTGCTGGAGATGAACAACAAATCCAATGCTCTAAAGATACTTTGGCCACATCATGAGAAGAAAGGAAAGCTTAGAGAATACAATGTTGCTGGGGAAAATGGAAGGAAAAAGGAAGAGGGGCTGACCAAGGGCAAGATGGATGGATGGCATCCTTGAAGTGACCTTGAAGGAGCTGCGGGTGGTGACGGCTGACAGGGAGCTCTGGTGTGGACTGGTCCATGAGGTCATGAAGAGTCAGAAACAACCGAACGAATGAACCACAACAAAGGAGGCAGCTGCAATGTAGAATTCATAGAGTTTGACACAACTCGAACTACCATGGAACCATGGGAGTTGTAGTTTCACAAGCCCTTTGCCAAAGAGTGCTGATGGAGACCTCACAAAGCTACAATACACTTGATTCCATAGCATTGAGCCATGGCAGTGAAAGTGGAGTCAAACCACAGTCTAAAGCAGGCGTGGGCAAACTTGGGCCCTCCAGGTGTTTTGGACTTCACCTCCCACAATGCCTAACAGCCTACCTGCCTAACAGCCTGACAGGGAGCTCTGACGTGGGCTGGTCCATGAGGTCACGAAGAGATGAAACGACTGAACGAATGAACAACAAAGGGGACTGCTGCAATGTAGAATTCGTAGAGTTTGACACAACTCGAACTACCATGGAATCATGGGAGTTGTAGTTTCGCAAGCCCTTTGCCAAAGAGTGCTGATGGAGACCTCACAAAGCTACAATACACTTGATTCCATAGCATTGAGCCATGGCAGTGAAAGTGGAGTCAAACCACAGTCTAAAGCAGGCATGGGCAAACTTGGGCCCTCCAGGTGTTTTGGACTTCACCTCCCACAATGCCTAACAGCCTACCTGCCTACTGGTAGGCTGTTAGGCATTGTGGGAGTTGAAGTCCAAAACACCTGGAGGGCCCAAGTTTGCCCATGCCTGGTCTAAAAGCACTCTTAAGACTGCAGGACACACAGAGGGAACAATCCTCCTGGTCTTGTTTTGTGCAGACAAACGTGCCACAAGGAAGACGGCCTTTTCTGCCCTCTTCTTCCATTGACCATCCCTGGGACAGTGGTTCTCAACCTGTGGGTCATGAGATGTTTTGGCCTTCAACTCCCAGAAGTAAACTGGTAAACTGGCTGGGATTTCTGGGAATTGGAGGCCAAAATACCTGGGGACCCACAGGTTGAGAACTACTGCCCTGGGAAGTTTGTGTGGGAAAGAAGACCTGCTTCGCGGAGTAGGGGTTAACTTCTTTTCTCGTGCTGTGAAGTGACTGGCGAGCCTTTACCTGAAAGTAGGCCTCTGCGTAGTCGCGGCCCAACAGCAGGCTCTGGAGGCCCACTTCTCGCAGGCTCTTCGGCAGAGAGTCCTTGAGGACCCTGGGCGAGACTTGCACCACTTGCACCGGCATAGTGCCGGGACAACAAGGCTTTGCAGACAGGCCCAGGCGGCCTCACATGAGGCAGGACGCTCCTGGGAGGAAATACATACTCAAAAGCGACTGAACTAAACAGCTGAACGTGGAGACCAATCAGAGCTGCTTTTCTCTAGCGTTCCCCAACGCGGAAGTGAGCGCGCGGCTTCCCCTGCGCATGCGCCGTACACTCACTGAAGCTTACAGGCTTCGGTCGGGCGGGAAACTCGTTTCGGCTCCTCCTCTTCTCAAGCGCCACTCCCGCCAATGCATTAGACTACAACTCCCAGGAGTCTCTTCTGCTTTGGTGAGACTCTGGGAAACTGCGATCTACAGACAGATGATTTCCAAACTATAGTCTTCCAGGATTTTGGAGACAATACTGCTTGGCAGCTCTATTTAAATGTTTACACACCTTCAGTATACATTTAAAGCAGGCATGGGCAAACTTTGGCCCTCTAGGTGTTTTGGACTTCAACTCCCACAATCCATAGCAGGCAGCCTAGGTTGTTAGGGATTGTGGGAGTTGAAGTCCAAAACACGTGGAGGGCCCAAGTTTGCCCATGCCTAATCTAAATGCATGTTGAATTTCTTGTTCAACATGCACAAGAAATTCTTTCCCCACCCGCCATCCCAAAAGTAAAAATTATGTCCACCACTGATATGTACAGCATGTTGGCAGTAAGAATCCAGGTGGCGCAGTGGGTTAAAGCACTGAGCTGCTGAGCTTGTTGATCGAAAGGTCGCAGGTTCGATTCCGGGGAGCGGCGTGAGCTTGCATTGTCAGCCCTAGCTTCTGCCAACCTAGCAGTTCAAAAACATGCAAATGTGAGTAGATCAATAGGTACCGCTCAGGTGGGAAGGTAACGGCGCTCCATGCAGTCATGCTGGCCACATGACCTTGGAGGTGTCTACGGACAACGCCGGCTCTTCGGCTTAGAAATGGAGATGAGCACCACACCCCAGAGTCGGACACGACTGGACTTAATGTCAGGGTACAACCTTTACCTATACCTAAGAATCCAGGAGCAAGGTGTGTTCCTGCTATTAGCCCCAGCTTCAGCCAACCTTGCAGCTGAAAAACATGAAAATGTGCGTAGATAAATAGGTGCCACTTCTGCGGGAAGGTAACGATGCTCCATGCAGTCATGCTTACCACATGACCTTGGAGGCGTCTACAGACAATGCCTGCTCTTGCCAGAAGGGACAGCGAGTTTTATCTATGCTGACAATCATGCCATCACTGCTCAAGGAGGAAGATTTGAAATGGTTGAACAGAAGCTCTCTGAAGCTTTAGGTGCTCGACTTAATGTCAGGGGAAACCTTTGTCTTTACCGTAGTGTGATAAAATTGCCCATTCAAGATGGATTGGGTTTGACTGTTAACACTTCAATCATTCTTTTGCAGTCAATCTCCTGCCACACTCCATCCAAAGCATTTTTGTTTGTTTGCAGTGTAGATTCATATAATGCAATTTAACTGCATCAAACTTCATTATATACATCTACACTGACCATATAATGCAGTTCCAAACTGTCTTATATGGCAGTGTAGATGGGGCCAAAGATTAATGCTCCACGGTGATATTAGAAAAGGAGTAAAGCCTTTAATTGAATTTAACCAAGTCCTAGCACCTGAAGGTTTCAATGGGAATTTTAGAATGATTTTAATTTAATTTAATTTAGATGGATGAGTCTGTAGAGCATTCATGTAACTCTTATAGTTTGATTTAGTGAATGATGTTATGTTACATTGTGTATTTTAAATATGTTGTGAGCTGCCTTGTCAGGAGAAAGGTGGCATAAAAATTCCAAAATAATAAATAATAAATCATAATTCAGACTAAAAACCAAAGAGCTCCAAGGCAACAGTTGCTTTCTCCTATTATCAACTCTTCAGTGCACGTTCAGCAAAAACTAGTTTACACCCATCTGGATCAAAGCAAAAACAAACAAAAAACCCATGCACCCTGCATCCTTTAATATTAAGTGAATATGAATCACCAAACACTAACATTTTCCCCAAAGTAAGAAATTGACAATCATTATGCCTTTATTTTCAGTTGTTACATCGTTAAGCTAAGGTCCAGATATTTACAGATGAGAGTCCTGAATTTCCCTCCTCAAACTACAAATCCCAGAATTCCGTTGGATGTCTTGCTAGTAACAGTAAAACAATATAATGCAGCAATTCCAAAATTCTCTGTGAGAACTCATTTAAAACCGATTAGAAGAGCAAGGCTTCATAGATATTGGTGGAGTCTGAATAATTACTACACTAGCAGTACTAGATACTTGGGCATTTCCAAATCCTGATTTAACCATTAATTAATATTTCTTCCATGTTGGTTGAATTACCATGGGGAGAGATTGCTTCCATCAGTCCCACTGTAGACATGTTCCCCTTTAGAATGAAAGAGGTTATTTGTCCTTAGCTCTAGAGCACTGCTTCTTCAACTGTGGGTTCCAACTTCAACAAAATGTTGGGGTTAGCTCAACGTTGCGGTTGCAAAAAAAATTGGCAACAGTAAAAAGTTTCTAACTTGCAGTGGACTCTGCAGTATTTGCAGTGGACTCTAGAAAATGCTTCAGCTGTACTTCATAAAAAGGAAAATTAGCCTGTTTAGCAAGTCTTACAAATGCTGGTTTATAATCAGTGAATGTTTGGTTTTTATATCTATTTTATGTACCTATATACTCAGGGTTACATAAAAAGTTTTCAGAAAGAAAGGAAAAGGCTTAAGAAGCCCTGTTCTAAAGTACTTCTAGCTACCTTACTAAATGGCTCCTTAAGGCAACATGCCACTAATGCCACTAATAGTCCAAATCAGAAGAGAGCAATTAAAGCACAGCTGGACTTTAATTTTCATGTCAATTCTGGGCCATGGATTCCCCCCTTCACCTAAAAACTGGCTGAAAACTGGTCCTATTTTGGGGGAGGGGAGCAGTTTTAGGGGCACACTAGGTTGGTGGGCATTTGGAGAGCACACGGGGTTCAGAAAATATGTAGTTACACAAGTTCATCTTCAGATACTATTGATCTTGCTTTGTTTTTAAAAGCAGGAGCCGGGATGGTTCGTTGCCTTTTTAATCAATAAGCTTCTCTTTCTGTGCTTGCTGCATGCGTGTGCTTTACTTAACAAAGGAGTAAAGAGAATCATTGTGTGCAGAAGCTTTTTGTGCGATTTGTAGAGATCTTGATGGAACGAGCATTACATCTTTTCATTTTCATGTAGCAAAAAATCCCATAGGTGTTCATTTTCTAACATGACACTTCCTCATGTTAGAAAATGCATCATTATTTGTGAATATTCTTGGCATCCTTCGCCCATTCCAAACTCACGATTTTCACATTATCTATTTCTAGCTGCTAGAAATAAAGTGACACTCTTTCAGATGAAATATTACAGGAAAGCAACTATATATTATTATTGCCAAATGTGACATGAGCACAGCTGAACAAATGAGCATAGTATCAAAGTTTTTTATAAAATAAATTAGGGTTGATTTTTTCCCCTCCAGAGACCAGTAAATACATCTATGTCTGGAAACCTGTGACTATATCAGATAGTTTAATTGAGCTGTCAAAAGGTGTTGTCTTAATTACTTTGTAAAGCAACTCATGTTTGTCAGATATGTTAAAGAAACTAAAAATAGAACCTGAATCCTAGGCTAGAGGATGGTTTCCTAAAAGAGAAAATGTACTGGAACTTAGGGTCCTTCCAGACAGGTCCAAAATGCAGGACCTGCCTCTGTTTTACTTGAGGCATCCAATTGAGGTAAAACCAAATTAATCTGGTGAAAATTGGGATATCCCAGTTTGCTCCTGATTAATTTGACACCTGGAAATATCTTGACTTTAAGTGAAGGTCCGGATCTTTACAGGTGAGGGCCAGTGGGGATTGACTCCTGGGACAGCTTCCACAGTTCCAGGGGTCATTCCCATCAGTGATCCTGGTTCTTCGGGCTCCTGGAGCCCAAAGGAGCGGAATGGCACCCCCAACCTCCCCTCCCAGCCCTTTGTTTCCCCCAAAAAAAGTTACACGAGGGGCCTGCCATCAATAGTGGGGAACAGGTTAATTACAAGAAGGAGGCAGACTGACAGCAGGATGTGTTGGGTTTCCTCTCTCATGTGATATAAAGTCTAATATCTAACAGTGTTTCCAGTGATGGAGCTACATCCATTAGTGAAAACAGAATGGGGTGACCAACATACATTCCTAAAATCTGTTCCTGGGGACTGTGAAATATTCCAAAGATGATTTTGAGATGGAAAACAGGGGAGAGGAACTAAATTCTCTCATACTGACTTTCAGGTGATGTTTGATTTAGGGTGAATGATTAAGTTATTTCAAAAATAGAAACAAATGGATAAATATAGCAGTCTCCTTTGCATTGCACTTCATAGTTGATTGTAGTAATAGAAGAAGCAATCAAATGTTCTCCTTCATGCCCTGGAAGAACTGCTTAGCCTTCTCCCTGATGATCTGCCCCATGTCAAAGCAAATCCTGCATTTCATGAGCTCTGGAGAAGGGGTGACTTAAGCACAAAGACAGAGGTGATTTATCATCCCATTCACAACACAACTAAACATTTAAGGAGCAGTTTTTCTTCTGATGTTTGTCTGCTTCATTTTCTTGGCTTTAACTCTAGCTGTAATTCCTTATAGGCAAGGCTGCTTCTGAAAACAATTTGGAAGCTTTACTTAGAGCAAAATGTGGTGACAAGAGATTTGACTGGTGCTGTTGACACAGATCGTATCTCACCAGGATGGGGCATTTTAGTCCCTATGGTCACATTTTGCTATGGAATCAACATAGAATCAGATCTGTAAAGTAAGCATTCTTCAACTTTGTCACGTGCAGAATTGTCAATAATGTCCCACAAATTTCAGCAACTTGCTATGTTGTTTATTCCCTATAAACACAAAATGACTGGAACAAGCATTTCTCCCAACAGACCTATTTGTTTTTGCAAGAGCACTGCTTTTGTGTCAGTGTGTAGCATTACAAGGCAAAAAGTCTCATACAGAGAATAAGGAGTGTTGCGTTCTGTTGGTTAGAGTAGCCCTCTATGTGGAGGAGGCTGACATATTTTCCCCTACACAAGAAGGTTGGAATTAATTTCACTTGGATTAGGAA